CCATATTTCCAACCGACATTATTTGGCAAGATTTTGCACTCGAAGGGTGTATTAATCAGCAATTTCCATAACTTTTAGTATTGAGAATTTACATTACCAGTTTTTACACAATTGTTCCATACACTTAAGCTGGCAGCGCGCCGCAGTGTAGTTGGCAACACTACACTTAACTCTCTTCCACGTCAGGTAAAAAAAAATTCCAGAATTTTCCACAATTCTATTAGCAAAATTCACAGAACAGCATAACCACTACAAAATCGAAATATATGGTTATTCGCTAGCCATAAAAACAGCCAATTGCCTACTTTTAAAAAAAGCCACTTTCACTATGACGTATATGTATATGTATGTACATATAAATGTAAATTACACGTGTCACCCGAATTCCACACTAATCTGTAAAACTTTTGTCCGTGCACAAATTAAATCACTAAATGGATCGCTTGTATACTTACATTAACTATTAATATAAAAAGTATTTATCCTGTGTTACAGCTTACTTTCGTAGCTTTTGGCCAGTTTATATATTTTTCGCTATATTTACTTCAAAAATTATTATTCTTTATTCTCTGATGTGTGGATTTCAACTGATAGTTCTCTCTGTGTCGCCGGCTATTTTTACTCCTATAAATTTGGCGTGGTGTTTTCTTATTGGTTGTTTGGCCGTCAGTTTTCTTGAAATCTGATTGGCCCACGTTCAGAGAGTGCGAGAGAATGGATTGTTTTCGCAAATGGAACATAGCCCGCGAAATTACCAGATGTTTTCATATTCAAAGTGATGGCAAGTCTGATGATGAAACATGGAGGAATTTTGATATATATCTGATAGGGCCTCCGCACACTGGACTGCTCAGTCCGCCTAAAACCGGTTTTGTGTGGATAAGAGCATGAACCAAATATACAAGATCACGCGGGCAGGAGAATAGCCCGTTAGAATCGCATTTAGGAAAAAAGTTTGACGATTTTGACATTAGCCGTTTGTTTACATTTCTTCGTTTACAATTTGGTGGTGGCTTTTTGCTGCAATTATCTTCATTTTCGCCTGTGACAACGTGTGTACACATAAGATAAAGAATAATTTAACACAACGGCATAATTTATAGAAGAATTTGCGTAATAAAAATGATTATTCATGCATTCAACAATTTCGCGGTTTTCTCCGTTCTCTTCGTTGTTTACTTCTTACAACAAAGATGACGTTGAGATTTCGGCAGCTAGAAAATAACTTTTTTCTTTCTTTCCTTCCCGCGTGATCTTGTGCCTTTCGTTCATGGATAAGAGCTCTTCCCCCTCTTCGAGTTTACCGCTTTCATTTGTCCGCGAAATTCGCGGATTGACGACAGAATACATGAATTCTTCATTTCATGAATTCAAAAATGGTCCCGTTTATGCATAGTTCGCGAATTCATGATATAAAGTGCTTTGAAAAAGTGGCAACGAACTGGCGACAAAATAAAAAGTAGGGTTGTGACTTTTTTGGCATCCTTTTAAATTTGCAAACGCTGTTTCAATTTATTCTATTGGAATTTATTTTATATTTGAACAATTCCACACAACTTTTCCAGTGTTTTAAATCCTGGTTATGCCACTAATGCTTTTAAATCTAAAAACATCATAACAGCTGTTTGTGAAACGTGGCGTTGCCGGACTTGCACTTCACGATTTCATGAAGTGATGCCGAATTCATTGTTAACTTTCGTGTATAGTTGAATTTATGAAATGGTGTTTATGCAGCCAATTTTAACCCAAATTCATGAAATAAATTCGTGAATTAGCCTTCGCATAAACGTACTAATAAACAACATATTTTGTTTGCATGTGCCATAAGCAGTGTTGCCGTTTTAATCCATATACTTCAAAAGTGATACGTGTTTTTGCAAATTTTCGGAAGATACTTCATTTTTTCTCTAATTTCGCGAGATACTTAAATTTTCCGCGTAGTACAAAATTTGATACATGTTAAAGAGAAAATATTTATGTGTGTATTCCGTGGCAGCTTTTAAAATTTTATCGAAAATATTGAAACGTTTTGGGGTCAAATGAGCTTAGAGAAAAATGCTTTAATGAACTATGTATAAAGAGCTGTTTTCATTCACTTTTAATTTACTTTACTTGTTTCATAAATAGCTCAAACCCAATATTTTGTTTAAATTACCGTTTTTTTGCCCCTATCTCGTAAATAACAATTTTCAATTCAATTCAATTCAATTTTATACAAAAAAGTTCTAGAACACCAAATCGATGTATCTTGAGATATTGGGCTTTGAAGTTGAGGTAGTGTGGAATTTTCATTTATTATTGAGCTAAATTGTAGAACTGTTGATCAACTTCAAAGCCCTATGTCTCAAGAAATATCTATATTAGCGATTTGGTGTACTGAAACTTTTCAATTTTCCTACAAATTTGTCATTTAAACTTTTTCTGTAGCTCTTGTTATTTATGAGATAGGGGCAAAAAACGAAAATTTAATCAAAATATCGGTTTTGGTGACTCGTACTAACTCGCTGTTGGGAGTTAGATTTACCAAAGGACGTAAATCTATAAGAAAAGACAACACGTTATAGTTGTAGCGAGTGTGAACATCAGGGGCGTGCCTTCTCTTTTCATCCAATCTAGAAACGTATTTGGGCAAAAGAGAAGGCACGCTCCTGATGTTCACACTCGCTACAATCATAACGTGTTGTCTCTTCTTATAGATTTACGTTCTTTGGAGTTACACTTTTGTAGAGCATTCAATTCTGAAGAAAATCAGACCAGAATTATAACATAAAATGTCTCTGAACTGTAGAAAAAAAATTCAAAGTTTACATGTATTATAAATGGGAAATTTTTGCACGCCTTGGGCGAGTACTTAACGTAAATATTAAGGGTTTAAATTTTCAGGGATTTTTTTTAAGTGTTTTCCACAAAATTTCGAGGTAGGAGTGAAAAAAATAATAGTCGCAAAAAAAGCACCCTAATGTTCATATATTTTTGGCTCAAGTTTCTATAAAATCCATATGTTCTGAAATTCGAAACCTTGAAATCGACACGATTTGCCGAATATTTTTTAATTATATCTGATGAAAAGAGTGAATATTCTTATTGAAACCCGTAAAAGACGCAGCAGTCAATTTAAAATTTTCGAATTCAGAACTTACCTGAATATTTTTGTTCGTCTCTATACAAGATTAAAAACAATGGCCCGTAGTCATAGTCAAAATAAAGTCGACTTTAAAGTTAGTTGCAGCTTTTTTGACAGATATCCCATTGAAAATTATGTCAAAAAGCTGCAACTAACTTTAAAGTCGACTTTATTTTGACTATGACTACGGGCCAATAATTTCTTTTTCGATAGATTGTCACAATATGTAAAATATCTTTCTTCATGTACAAACATACATATACATGTTTATGAATGCGAATCACGTGATTTTTTGGTTATTGACAATAATAAAAACCAAAGGTATGAAAGCAAATATCATTTTTTAAGCCTTTCCTAATTTGATACTTTGATACTTAAATAAAAAAAAATTGTGATACATTTGATCCGTTTTTTGTTTCTTTTACAATACATTTTTTTAAGGCGTCGCGGCAACACTGGCCATATGCACTAAAACCATGAACCAAAAAGACAAGATCACGCGGGCTGGAGACTAGCCCATTAGAATCGCATTTAGGAAAAAAGTTGAAAAGTTGAGTTTGTTTACATTTCTTCGTTGTTTACAATTTGGTGGTGGCTTTTTACTGCAATTTTCTTCATTTTCACTTGTGACAACGTGTGTACACATAAGATAAAGAATAATTTAACACAACGGCATGATTTATAGAAGAATTTGCATAATAAAAATGATTTTTCATGCGTTCAACAATTTCGCGGTTTTCTCCGTTCTCTTCGTTGTTTACTTCTTACAACAAAGATGGCGTCGAGATTTCGGCAGCTAGAAAATAACTTTTTTCGTTTTTTCCTTCCTGCGTGATCTTGTGTCTTTCGTTCATGCACTAAAACATTCAAGCGTAGTTCATGTATACAAAACTGAAACCTGTTTTTGGCCGACTGCCCAGTCCAGTGTGCGTTCGAATTGGGGACTGCTAAGTCTGACTGAGCAGGCTAGAGTGCGGAGGCCCATTAAGTATTTTGTTTATTTATAGAGCATTCGCAAGAGGCGATTTTACAGGCAACAAAAGTTGAATACGAAGTTGAATGAGAAGCTGAAAGTGAAAAAGTTGCCATCCCTATTCAGACGAGGCGATTTTCGATTCAACACGAATCGTTATTTACATTATTGAAAATTAATTTAAATCGCTAAATTTTATCAATTGGCGTAAATTTGGTAAGCCAAGCGTTGGTAGAAGTGCTTTTAGCGAAGCTGAAAGATAAAATAAGAGTAAAAAATTAAAAGAAAAAAGTATGTATACAGAACAGTGTTGGCATTTTTGGTACAATTGTACTTGTTTGATACAATTTCATTTACAATATACTTTCCTACTACGCAGTACTTTTTAGTACAATTTTGTAATGAATACTAAAAATATATATGTGAAAATTCACAGCAAGAAATTTTTTGTATTCTCTTTTGTTCGGCTGTTCGTATTTACCTTTGTAATTTTTGAAAAATGGCTTGAACGAACCAGCATAATATAGCCTAGGCAAATTTTTAAAGAAACTTTTCGATACTAAGTTTTATTAAAACAAAATGTCGAAGTCAGCATCATATAGAAGCAAAGTCTTCGTTAGTTATAAGAAAAGATTTTCTTAAATATAATACCTTTACGGCACTCACATATTGACAAGATTTTACTATTTATTTTATTATTCTTTAATTTTAATTATCTGTTTATAAAATATAATGTATTCTTTAAGAAAAACTGTATAAACCCAAGATTAAATCTTTGCGAAACATCCAAAAACCAACATACTTTCGTAAAAATTTCGAGCTTTATTAATATTCTTTAGTTTTTAGGCCATTCAATTTTAGTATAATAAAGTGCAAGTTTAAAGTAGCTGGGACTTACCGTTGAACTTGGCAATTTTTTTGATTGTCGACGATGTCAGCCATTTTCTTTCATACGAAGTGTGTTCGACGATTTTTTTATATGGAGAAAATTAGCAACACAAAGAAATCTTTAAAAACTTAGTTGTATTAAAATTTTATGGGCTAAAAAACCGCACACTCAAAATAAATCTAGGAAATCGAATTAAAAAGCTCGAAAGTTTCACGAAAGTGTGTTGGTTTTTTTAATGTTGCACAAAGTTTGAACCTTGGATTTGTACGGCTTTTCTTAAGATATAAACCATATTTTTACAAACAATAATTAAAATTGAATAATATTAAGATAAATGGTCAAATCTTGTCGTAAAGTTTTGATAAGCACTTGAAATGCTATTAAAATGTCAAATTTTAGTACTGAATCCAAAGAAAATGTCTCTTTTATCCATTAATAATAACTTAAATATGCTTTTTGTTAAGATGTATACCTGAAAATGTGTGCATACATATTTGCGTTAAATGCAGTACATGCGCACGTGGAATCAACTTGTAAAAGTGTAAAATACGTAAACGTATGTACATAAAAAATAAAACTTTCTCATTAATACCATAAAATCATTGGTCTTGAAGGGAAT